CCCTGGAGGAAGTGGTGCCGCCTCCAATCGGGTGTGTTTTCTTCATATTGGGACAGCGGAGGCCCCTGTGCCCTGCTGGAGATCGTGAAAACCGAGAGCTAGAAGTCCCAGTTAGCCTTTCTGCCTTTGGTCAGTTAATTTGGGACCACCACCCATGCCAGGCACTGGTGTGGGCGTCGGGGGGTTTGTAGAATAAATGAATGCGTGGCATTAATTGGTTGAGATGGAGACAGTGAATGAGATGAATGGCCCCAATTTAAAAATTTCCAAATATAGAGAACACTCCCTATCTGATCTTGGAAATACTTGAAAAAATAGCGTTCCTCTTGAGGGCGAGTGCCAGTTTGCTTGTGTATTGGAGCTTCTCCTCTGCCACTCTCCTTCAAGTCAGGACCAATCCCTGCCTCCTCTGCGCCCCACACTTGGTTTATACCCTTTACTACAGCACTTGCCGCAGTGATTTCTTTCCAGCGAGGATTTTTGCAGATGTGTTTCTCCCCCAATACATTGTTAGTTCCTTGATCAACGAAAGGGACAAAATGTTGGTGATTTTGTCATCTCAGGTCGTTCCGTCCACCTGACTGCTCTTATAAAACAGCTTTCTCAAAGATCACCTCCAATATCCTCTTAGTTGTTAAAGCCAATGAACATGTTTAGGCTCTTAGTTGTTCTTCGGCAGCTACACACTGTGGCTGCTTCCTTCCCTTCTCTTGCTGTCTCACCTTTCCTACCCCACATCCTTCTCTACTGATGCTTTTGGGGCTACCAGAGATGCCCATAACCACAGATCTAAATTTATCATTCCCTTAGTTAAAATCTTTGATGCTTCCTGTGATAGATTGCTAATTGGATCCCCAAATTCATTCTTCCCTTCTTTCGTAGGAACATAACCGCAATTTGTACCCGGGCACATTGTCATTCCATTAAATGAATATATATCCCAGCTTCCCTTAGAGCTAGATCAGGCCATGAGACTAAATTCTGGCCAATGAGATGTAAGTGGGAGCTTTATATAGTGACCTCTGAGAAATTACTCTTCTGTGCTGTTCTTATGTGCTATTTCAATATTTATATCCTTCATTATTGTTGTTTGCAACTGTGTCTTTCTACCAGGGAAAACTAACACATTTCTAGGCAACTGTAATATAGGGGAATAAATACACCCCACCAGACTTAGAATTCCTCTCAGAAAGGAATCAAATCCCAGTCTTCCTTTCTTCTCAATGCCCAGCACCCTTCCTGGTCCTCAATAAATGATTGATGGTGCAGGAGGTTTAAATGGCCATAAGCCTAAGATCAACCAGACACAAGGTGACATTGAGGAGTCAGTGCAGGAGATCACAGATGGAGAAGGGCAACAGGTAACCCTCTTGGAGGAAGAAGGATTAATTAGTTTAAACCTGTAAGCTACCTCGAGGACATGAATGTTGAATATTTAGGGCAAGGATGGATAACCAGCTGGGGTTGGTACAGCAACATGTCTCCCATAGTACCAGAGTGTGAATTAAGTATGTTAATGGATTTTTATGGCCTTCTCTGAAGCATATGTCTTGGCTAGTGTGGAAGACAGAAGATTGAACACACTGGACAATTGCTCTCTTTAATAGGACAGAATCTATGCTCCTCTTCTATGCCTGAAAAACTACCATTTCACCCCATGCCTGGTGACATCAACTCCAAAGCCTGGTAATGTGGCCTCAGTGCATCCTTTGGCTGCTATATCATTTGCATCCCTAAACTAGGACAATTTTTTTTCCTCTTTTTTAAAGTTGGTGGAGATAAGAGTACAATGGGGATATTTCTGATTCCTACTCTGCTTGGGTGGGGGAAAGCAGATGAAAGGGATAAAGATGGAAATTAGATACTTCTGAATAAATCAGTTACTTCATAAGTAAACTTTCCAAGGTCACATCAGGAAGAACACTTGTAAATAGGTTTGAACATGGATGGAGATGTTGAGGATGAAGATGATGAAGTCCATAACTTACTACTGAGCACCCATCAAGTGCCAGGTACTATGATAAACCCTTTACCTGTATCATCTCATTTAATCTACTCAAAGTCACAAGGCTGTATTATAACAGGTATCCTGTAGATGACAAAATTAAGGCTCACAGAGTTGCCTGAAGCTACATAGCCAATGGAGGGCACAGCCAGTGTTGAACCCAGGTGAGTGTGGTTCCAAAACTCACACTTGTATCTACTGACAACACCACATTTCCCTCCATGTCACAATCCACTCCACAGTCCAGTTGCAATGAATTCTAGCTGCCTGAGAATCATGGGACTAAAAGAAAAAAACCACACAGCTTTATTGAGATATAACTCATATACCATACAATTCATCCATTTAATATGCACAATTTAGTTGGTTTTAGTATATTCACAGAGCTTTGTAACTGCGACCACAATCAATATAAGAATATTTTTTCACTTCACAAAGAAATCCTATACCCATTTGTAGTCACTCACCATTTCCCCCAACCTTCTGCCCCTTCCTCATCCCAAAGCAACCACTAATCTACTGTCTGTCCCCATAGATTTACCTATTCTGGACATTTCATATAAATGGAATAACACAACATGTGGCCTTTTGTTCCTGTCTTCTTCCACTTAGCATAATGCTTTCAAGATTTGTCCAGTTGTAATATATATCAGTACTTTATTCCTTTTTATTCCTAAATAATATTTCATTATATAGGTATACCACCTTTTATTTATCCATTCATCAGTTGATGGGCATTTGTGTTGTTTCCACTTTCCAGCTATTACAAATAATGCTGCTATGAACAATTGTGCATATCTTTGTGTGAACATGTGTTTTCATTTCTCTTGGGTAAATACCTAGGAGTGGAATTGCTGGTTCATATGGTAATTCTATGTTTAACTTTTTGAGGAACTACCAGACTGTTTTCCAAAGAGGCTGCACCATTGTACATTCCCATAAGCAGTGTGTGAGGATTCCAATTTCTCCACATCCTCACCGATACTTGTTATTATCTGCCCTTTTTAATTATAGTCAATGAAGTGGTTCTCATTCTGGTTTCGGTTTGCATTTCCCTGATAGCTAATGATGTCGAGCATCTTTTCATGTGCTCATTGGCTATTTATATATCTTCTTTGGAGAAATGTCTATTCAGATCCTTAGCTCATTTTTAGATTGAGTTATTTGTCTTTTCACTATTGAGTTATGAAAGTTCTTTATATACTTTAGACACAAATCCCCCATCAGATTTACAAAAATTTTCTCCTATTCTGTAGATGGCAGCATGGACTTTGAGCCACTTGACTGAGAAAATATTCCCAATGAGATCAAGGTCTTATTTCTAAAACTAAGAAAGACAGCAGTGGCCTTATTGTGGAAAGGGAAGGGGACATAGTTCTGATGCTGAACATTGTGTGTAAGGACAGAGTACACTCTCAGAAAAAACGAGATTAGTCAAAGGGAAAATTTATGGATTGTTTTTATTTTCTTTTGTTTTATTTTTACATTTTACTCTGTTTTATTTTTACATTTTACTCTGTGTGTAGCTTTTATTTGTATGTTTGTTTTAATTTGTTTCACTTGAACTGGCAGGACAATGAGCAACCTTCGGAACACTCTTGTCGTCCTGCTTAATTCCTGACCCTCACACTTGTCCAGATGTCATCTAGCACCAAGTGCTTCCATGTGCACGAGTTCATGGAATCCGTGCACTGTCTGTGATCCTTTGAAGGGTTTTAGTGCCCTTCTATTACTAACGCAAAGTATTGTTTGTTGAGGACTTAACCATGTGCTAGGCAGTGAGCTCAAGACTTTCCATGTGAGCCAAGCCTTTTCCATTCT